GGGGCCCATATCTATGCAGGGGCCCATTAACAAGAACTCCCTGGTCTTGCTCCTTCTCTTCACCACTGCAGCGTGCTCGTTCTGCTTGGGGAAGAAGAGCAGCAAACAAAACTGTCTGCTTGCGCAGTGTTTCTTGTCAATGATAAGAAAAAGGATGAGTAAGAACAGCTGCAACAGTGGTGATGAGAAAGACTCACGGAGGGTGATTTGCCAATGGCCCTCAAACATCTGGAGTTGGCACCATATTTTCTATTTTTATTCTGTATCACTGTTTATGATTGCGCTGCGAGCCACCCAGAGAGCCTTCTGACTATGGGGCGACATACAAATGCAATCAATCAATAAATGCATGCTCATGCTGGCAGATGTGCCACCTGCATGTTTCCCTGCAGCATCTAAGGATGCAATCCAATGTGTTCTGTCCTCCAAGATCTGAATATTCAGTGCCCCATCAAACTGTTGCAGGCAGGTAGGAGCATAGGAGCAGTGGCAGAGGTGAGTTCTGCTTCTCTGTCCACATTTCAGAAACAAATGCAAGATACCCAAGATATCCATGCAAATTTCCACATAGCCAGGAGCAATACCCGAATCCCAAAGTCTTCTCTCAGGGAAAACTGAACAAGAAATGAATGTCTAGATTACCTGCCCTAGGGGGCTCTGCCTTGTACTCTGGTGGTAATTTTCCACCACTACTTGCCTGCTCTGCAGGGACGGGGGTCTAGAGAAAGGAGGAATGTGATATAGATACAGACTGACTTCCATTTTAGCTGATAATACAAGAAAAGATGTGGGTGCCGAAGGGCAACACCTATTCTTATTTAATGTTAAGATTAATAGGCATAGGCCATTTTCAAAAACTCAGAATTAAAATTCTGAAGTCACGACACTGTGGAAAATTATGATTAGCAATGAGTCATCAGTTTTAATTTAGGATGAGCTGCTGTGAACAACAGATGCCACTCAATTTGGTTTTTTTTTTTTTTGGCAGCACACTTTCAAAACTCCCATGAGCAGATCAAGTCTGTTTTAATTATTTATCCAATTACTCCTCTCAAATCAGGAAAGTGAGACTCCACTGGTATGTTTATGGTTACTTTCACAAGTGGTGTGGCAGTACTTTGGCTCTGAGAGAGGAGTGATGGGACTTTTTAAAAGCCAGAAAACAGCTACATATTATACTGTGAACCAAGCTGAACCTTAGTCTCATCCATATAGCCAGAGGCTGACATTGGTGTGCCCTCAGACACCTTTCTTAACACCCACCAAGGGTCCTATCCCCACCCACTTTAATTCTTGCATTTTGCTGTGAAAAAGCTTTCGATTGGTGCTGAAAACTGTAAGTTCAAAGGAGTTGTTAAGTATGTTGTGGTTTAGACCTGTTGGGCAGATTACTTCTCATTTCCTTTGTATGTATCTCATGACAGCCATTTTGTGATTGAGACTGTTTCTCAAATCACTAAATATACCCCTGGCCAAAAGGGTTGCCAGTCCTGCTAAATACTGTAAAATAAACAGCTACAGGTATTAGGGGGATTGATGCTTTATTTCTCTGTATATTTATTAGATTTATATTCCACTTTTTTTAAAGAACTCAAAGTAGCTTACAACATTCTCTTCTTCCTGCTCTCAGTCTTACCTCCACAACAACAATCCTGAGATACATTGGGTTGAGAGTCTGTGACTAGCCCAAAGTCACCCAGATGGCTCTATGGCTATGTGGGGACTAGAACCCAGACCACCTGAGTCCCAGACCCACATTCTTAATCACTACACCACACTGGCTCTCTTAGTTATATATAAACCTGAGGGAGCATTTAGGCATATGCTAAATTTCATCAGGCATCCTGAATCATTGGTCTTAATGCCAAGATCCATTTATTTGATGGCCAAAATTCTGTCAGGACTAGGTTTCGGCCAAATAATTAACAGGATACTTTGTCATGTAACTACGTCTTCATCATATTTAGACAGTGTTTGACATACACTGCTCAATATTACATTGATCCTTTGGTCCCTTGTCTGTTGTGGTGATTCTGAAACCATAAAGAGGCATAGACAGTTGAAGGAGGAGAAGCAAGGAAAACAGTCCTTTAGATAATCCTCAAAATTCTTTCTATTAAATAATTAGCTTCATCTCTTACAGAGTGACCCTAAGCATCTCTCCTCCTCCTTGGCAGCCAAAAGTAAAATAATTTAAATAATTACCCACTGGCTTTTCAGTAAGTGATGCCCCCAAATCAAGAGGTGTAATTTATTGAGGCTGTATTGATTGATGCAGCTCTCTCACAAAGCTTCCTACTCAATAAGGCACCAGTTCCAACCTTTCACCAGATGTCTCAGATTACCCGCCTGAGGGGAGGAACATCAGTGGCCTATATAGACACTGACTGGTAGTCATGGCATAAAAATATGTAAAATAAAACTTGCAGATCTATTTCATTTGAATAATGTGTTCAGGATGTCATGGCCATGGAGCCACCTGGGTGACTTTGGGCCAGTCACAGCCTCTCAGCCCAACCTACCTCACAAGACTGTGTCTAAATATGTCTGGCCAAAGCAGCTTGCCCAGGACAAGAGAGTCTTGCCTAATACGGAGTATCAATGAACTGATTACCCCAACTGTACTTTTTGAAAAAGTACTGTTTCTATTTTCTAAGGAAAATAAGCAGAATTGTGCTGAAAGGTGAGAATTAGTTAAACTAAATGAAACACTGAAAAGGTTATCAGTTACTTAGTATTGATATTGCCACCTACAGGAATGCCAATAAACTATGTCTTACTGATGTGATATGTTACCTATTGACTGTTCTTCTCCTTCTCCTTTGGTAGCTATAGATAATCAAGCCACAATTCACTGGGAAGCCAATATCCTTTGCTGGATGGGTCAGACAATCATTACTGCAGTTAGAAGATCAACCTTCCCTTTTATGAGTTGTAAATCAGATAAAGGATTTGGCTTCTCTGGGCTGCCTTAAAAACTAGACCATCCTAGCAGCAGCCATCTGAAGCTAATTAATCTTACTAAAGGCGATGGTCTGAACAACTCTTAACTCTTAATCCCATTTTCTGCAAATGTTTACAATAAATGAAGATTTGCAGTCACAGTAAAATAACCTTTTCCTATTCATGTCAGTATCATGAAGATTAGGGGGAAAGGAAATAAAAGAAGTACAGAAAAATTTTTGGTGCCCTCTAATGACTACCAAGGATGAGATGCAATATTCTCTTTAAAAGAAAATAAAAATACCTTATGCTCATGTACTTGAGATTAGATCCTGTTGAAATCAGTAGGCATATATATATATATAGGATTGTTGATTTCATTTCTACAAAGAACAATGACAAGCTTAGATGTAAAATCTAAGGATACATTCTGCTTTTGTGTCATTTTATGGCTAAGTTACAGCCTGAACATTTTTAACACTCTGCAATCACTTAGTAATAAAATAGTGAAATTGCAAATGAAATTAAAAAATAATTATTCTTATAAAAAGGAAGAAAAAAAGAATTGGTTCTGGATATGCTTATTTCACTTTAGTGAAGAGAGAGAACTATGTTATCTAATTGTAACACACCTTTAGGTTGACCAGTTCAGATATTTCAGGCTGTGGGTAACATATTTTGCACTACAGGAGAAGTCTCATGATTTGACACCACGTGATGCTTTGTGTGAGCTTAGCAAATTGCACATATATTGTATACACATGACTTTTCATGGCAATCTGTCTAATCTTCCCATCTATAAGCACACTTAACAAACATGATACTGGAGTATCATGGTGCTGGAGACTTGCATGGTGCCGGAGACTCATGTGCCTAAAGATCACACCTAGTCCCTCCAGTGGAGCAGCAACAGAAACAGCTCCCATGGGTCTGGATGTCTGAACTTGGCCACATAACTACATTTATAAATCAAAAGTCAGTGCTAATCAAGGCCATGATGGTCAAAATCTCTCTAGAAAACTACAATCCAATGACTTAGCCTTATTTAGTTATTTATGTATTTACGTATTTCACTGTCCTTCTTCACAGAGAAGAGGTAAAGGCCTTCTCTGATAGTCTAATAGGGCAGACAGATGCCTTTAATAAAAGCAAAACTTTATGGGGAAGGCTGTTACTATTGTGGCATGCACTGTCTTCTCAGGGGGATAAAAAACATCCAAACACGTGTATGATGAATATCCTTGAGCAAAAATTTCAACCTGACACAGCTGATTTTTAAAAAATGTATTTCTATAAGTAATACGTCACACAAGTAAGCAAGGTAATTCATCTGTATTTGAAATCAGATGGTACAAGGAAGCCACTGGACCATTTTGCACAACACAGAGCAGGATGGGTTAATTTACCTGTAAGGAACTGAACAACCTTAAAATTGTGGGTTATGTGAGGGTTGTTTGTCTCAAATAAACCCTGCCACCTGGGTTCAAATGACGCAAGCTTTAGCAACTCCCTGCCAGGACTTGAATATTCATAATGATGGATGGCAGGTAGGGTTGCAAGGGTTAATTAACAGCTGGTGATCTGTCTGTTGTGTCATCAGAACCAAGTCATCCTTAGAAAACCACTACATTGTGTGCTATGTTAATTCACATTCAAGGACAGTTTGAGACCCAAACATTCATCGTTTACTGCTGTCACCACAAGATGGCAGTGTATAATCTGATACTAGCAAGAGCAAGAGTGTTTTATCTTTACAGAACATGAGGTAAAAGTAGCTTCATTAAGGACAACTTCAAGAACAACAGCTGTCTTTGATGAACATTTTAAAAAGACGAGTTGAGGCCAAACTAGACACTCTTGAATAGATCTCTCATCTTGCTACATTAAAAGAAATGGAGGGGGGAATCAGATTGAGACCAGAGCACAGGACAAATAAATGGTAACTAAACCTTTTTCCTTACCTCATTTTCTGAGCATATCCCTACACATCCATCCCTGCCCAGTTTCTGTAAGTTTAAGTTACCATGTTTCACGGGGTTTTTAGAATCATGACCTACCTGACAGACAAGTGGTTTCTACTTTATTGTGATTTCCATCTTCTCTGCTAAGTTCTTTCACTGTTGGCATGTATCCCATCATCCTCTGCACCTGAAATTCCATCTCAAGCTGCATCTCTCCCTGTATGTGTTCCCTGCCTCTTCCTCATTGGTCTACACACAGAAGCTGGGTGACTGGAGTGGCTCCTGCAGTTGTCACTCTCCAGAGGATTCTGCAGCAGTTGTATACAAGGCCTACATAACTATGATCAGACAACATAACAAGCCATGGCGGTACAGTGAAACCATAGAACAAAACTTTGTTTCTTACCATGGCTTCTAAAGACCAAACTTAGTATGGAGAAATACCACAACTGGGTTCAAACAACATGATGGTGGTTTAAATGGTTTAAATCATGGTTTGAAAAGCCACCATAGCTTGTTATGTTGTCTGAAGCCAACCACTGCTTTTCAGTCTAACCTAAGAGTTGGGTGTACTGGGCAGGTTGTCAGAATAGGACAGGTAAGATTCAGGTTTCAATCCACACTCAGCCTTCAGACCAAAGGCTTATCTTGTCTGGCATTCTGTTCTCCACAGCCATCCACCAGACACCTGCAGAAGCTCAAAAGCAAGGCCTGGATGCAATAGCTCCCATTCTTCCCATTGCTCCCCACCAACTAGATCTAGGAGGTAGCAGAGACATTACAACAAATAGCCATTGATCACTTCATTCTCCAAGAATTTTTGAAATCCACTTCTAAAGCAGTCTAAAATAAGTCATCTCTGCATCCTGAAGAATGAATTCCACAGCGACTACATACTGTGTGAAGAAATGTTTCATTTTACCTGTTCTGAATTTCCTCCCATTCAGGTTCCTTGGATGACTCTGACGTCCTTAGTATTATGGGAAAGGGAGAAAAAGACTTTTCTTAGCCCACCTCCTGTGCACCTTCCTTAGTTTGAGGCACCTCTGTCACATCTTCACGTGCTCACTGTTTTCCCTTTAAGCTAAATGTTCTAACGTTAGCTCACAGGAGAATTGTTCCAAGGCCCTGAACACTTTGGGTGTACTTTTTTGCACTTTTTTGTTGCCATTACATGCTGTCAAGTAGTCTCCGACCTATGAAAGCCCTCCAGAATGTCCAGTCTCTGACAACCCTGCTCAACTCTCCCAAGTTCAAGGCAGTGGTTGCCTTTATAGATTCAAACTGTCTCATATTTGGTCATCCTTTTCTTCTTCTGCTTGCATCTTTCCCTGGCATGATTGTCTTCTCCAGTGAGTCTTGCCTTCTCGGCACTTTTTCTAGCTCTATACTTTTTTAAGATGCAGTGATCAGAACTGTTCACAATATTCCAAGTGTGGCTGCCCCATAGAATGTTATCAAAACATTATTATACAGGCACTTTTATTTTCAATCCCATTCACCTGTAATGTGAAATTGCCCCTTTTTCATGGCTGCCACACTGCATCAATATTTTGATTAGCTATCCACAATACTCTTCCCTGGTCACTGACATTTGCATCTATGAGTATATATTTTTTGCTCCAACATATATCACTTTAGACTTTCTAACCCTGAACCACATTTGTAATTTTGTTGCCTGTTCACCCAATTTGGAACAATCCTTTGGGGACTCCTTACAACCCGTTTTTATTGCCCTGAATATTTTATCATCAGCAAACCTGGCTACTTCACTCACTGCTCATTCATAATGTATAATTGAACAAGTGAAAAAGCACCGATTCCAAAATAGATCACTGTGGGCTACCACTGTTTACATGCCTCTGTTGTAAAAAGTCCATTTGTTCCTAATCTCTGCCTTCTTTAACCAGTTACTGATTCATGAAAGGACCTCTCCTTTTATCCCAAGACTGCTAAGTATGCTTGAGTGTCTTTGTAAGGTGGCTTTTGAAGGTCCATGTGAACAATGCCTACCAGATAACCTCTCTCCACATACTTACTGACACTCTCAAAGAACTCTGAAGGGTTAGCAAGGCAGGACTTACCACTGCAGGTCTCTTGTACCTTAACCTGTTAGTGTCCTATTAATTTCTGAGTTGGTTGTTTTAGTTTTTTATTATTTGCAAGCTGCCCTGGAAATCAAAGAATGGGAATATTAATTATATATTAAAAACTGTATCATATGTTCATTACAAGGATAAAAGGGGGATGCGTATACTTCCCTGAGCTCCTCATAGGAATAAAAGTGTAACCAGCTTCTTAAGGCCTGTGGAGGCCTTAAGAACTGGGAACACCATAGCCTTGACTATACGCACTTTTGTTGGCAGGGTGATGTCTCTGCTTTTTAGTATGCTGTCTAGATTTGCCATAGCTTTCCTCCCCAGGAGCAAGCGTCTTTTAATTTCTTGGCTGCAGTCCCCATCTGTGGTAATCTTGGAGCCCAGGAAAATAAAATCTGTCACTACCTCCATTTCTTCCCCATCTATTTGCCAGGAAGTGAGAGGACCTGATGCCATGATCTTAGTTTTCTTAATGTTGAGTTTCAAGCCAACTTTTCCGTTCATCAAGAGGCTCTTTAGTTCCTCTTCACTTTCTGCCATGAGAGTGGTAACATCTACATATCTGAGGTTGTTGATATGTCTCCCAGCAATCTTAATTCCAACTGGTGATTCATCTAGCCCTGCCTTTCTCATGATGTGCACTGCATATAAGTTAAATAGACAGGGCGACAGTATACAGCCTTGCCAAACGCCTTTCTCAATTTTGAACCAATCAGTGGTTCCGTGTCCAGTTCTCACTGTTGCTTCTTGACTCACATATAGGTTTCTCAAGAGACAAATAAGATGGTCTGGTACTCCCATCTCTTTAAGAACTTGCCACAATTTGTTGAGATCCACAACAATCAAAGGCTTTAGCTTAGTCAATGAAGCAGAAGTAGATGTTTTTCTGGAACTCCCTAGCTTTCTCCATAATCCAGCGTATGTTGGCAATTTGATCTCTAGTTCCTCTCCCTCTTCGAAATCCTGTCTGTACTTCTGGTAGTTCTCGGTCCACATACTGCTGGAGCCTAGCTTGTAGGATTTTGAGCAAAACTTTGCTAGCATGTGAAATGAGTGCAATGGTGCGGTAGTTTGAACATTCTTTGGCATTGCCTTTCTTTGGGATTGGAATGTAAACTGAACTTTTCCAATCCTGTGGCCACTGTTGAGTTTTCCAAATTTGCTGGCATATTGAGTATAGCACTTTAACTGCATCGTCTTTTAGGATTTTGAATAGCTCAGCTGGAATACTGTCACCTCCACTAGCTTTGTTGTTGCTCAGACTTCCTAAGGCCCATTTGACTTCACATTCCAGGATGTCTGGCTCAAGGTCAGTGACCACCCCATCGTGGTTATCAGGGATGTTAAGCTCTTTCTTGTATAGTTCTTCTGTGTAATCTTGCCACCTCTTCTTAATCTCTTCTGCCTCTGTTAGGTCCCTGCCATTTTGGTCCTTTATCATGCCCATCTTTGCATGAAATGTTCCCTTCATATCTCCAATTTTCTTGAAGAGATCTCTAGTCCTCCCTATTCTATTGTTTTCTTCTATTTATTTGCACTGTTCATTGAAGAAGGCATTCTTATCTCTTCTAGCTATTCTCTGGAATTCTGCATTCAATTGGGTGTATCTTTCTCTTTCTCCCTTGCCTTTCACTTCCCTTCTTTCCTCAGCTATTTGTAAAGCTTCCTCAGACAGCCATTTTGCTTTCTTGCATTTCTTTTTCTTTGGGATGGTTTTAGTTGCTGCCTCTTGTACAATGTTGCGAACCTCCGTCCATAGTTCTTCAGGCACTCTGTCTATCAGATCTAATTCCTTAAATCTATTTCTCACCTCTACTCTATTTGTCACCTTTGTATATTCATCAGGGATATGATTTAGGTCATACCTGAGTGGCCTAGTGCTTTTCCCTACTTTCTTCAACTTAAGCCTAAATTTTGCAACCAGATGCTCATGATCTGAGCCACAGCCAGCTCCTGGTCTAGTTTTTACTGACTGTATAGAGCTTCTCCATCTTTGGCTGCAGAGCACATAGTCAATCTGATTTCTGTGTTGACCGTCTGGTGATGTCCATGTGTAGAGTCATCTCTTGGGTTGTTGGAAAAGAGTGTTTGCTATGACCACCATATTCTCTTGACAAAATTCTACCAGTCTGTGCCCTGCTTCATTTTGTACTCCAAGGCCAAACTTGCCTGTTATTCTGGTTATCTTTTGGCTTCCTACTTTAGCATTCCAATCTCCCATGATGATAAGGACATCATTTTTGGGTGTTAATTCTAGAAGGTGTTGTAGGCCTTCATAGAACCAGTCAACTTCAGCCTCTTCAGCACCAGTGGTTGGGGCATGAACTTGGACTTACTGTGATGTTGAATGGTTTTCCTTGGATTCGAACGGAGATCATTCTGTCATTTTGGAGATTGTATCCCAGTACTGCATTTCCTACTCTTTTATTGACTATGAAGGCTACTCCATTTCTTCTGAGGGATTCTTGCCCGCAGTAGAAAACCTGATGGTCGTCTGAATTATATTCACCCATTCCTGTCCATTTTAGTTCGCTGATTCCTAAGATGTCGATGTTCAGTCTTGTCATCTCTTGCTTGACCACATCCAGCTTGCCTTGATTCATGGATCTTACATTCCAGGTTCCTATGGAGTATAGATCTTTGCAGCACTGGACTCTCATCACCAGATAAATCGGCAACTGAGTGTCCTTTCGACTTTGACCCAGTCGCTTCATTCTTTCTGGCGCTACTAGTACTAGCCCTCTGCTCTTCCCCAGTAGCATATTGGACACCTTCCGACCTGAGGGGCTCATCTTCTGGCGTCATATCTTTTTGCCTTTTGGTACTGTCCATGAGGTTTTCATGGCAAAGATACTGGAGTGGGTTGCCATTTCCTTCTCCAGTGGATCACGTTTTGTCAGAGCTCTCCGCTATGACCTGTCCATCTTGGGTGACCCTGCACGGCATAGCTCATAGCTTCATTGAGCTATGCAAGCCCCTTCGCCACAAGGCAGTGATCCATGAAGGAGCTACTACTAATACTATACTATACTACTACTCCTTCATAAAGTAACCCTTTGTGCATACTTGGTGATTACACACCACTATGAAACTTTTGGTTTGTCCTAGAGATGCTGGATGGTTTGTTAACCAAACTCTCCAGATTCATACTTCACAACAAATTTATACTGGCAAGGGGAGTTCTGCTAATTAGGCAGCTGACAACCATGGGGCTCAATTTCACTCCGTGGGTATGAAAACCTGCCCATAGTGTGCTTGAATGTATGTTGGGTTGATATCATTCATAAAATTAAAGATGTAGGCTTGTATCCAATGTTGTCTTTGCACAAAGCAGAATCCCCAATTTTCAGACATCCCATTTTACAATGCATCATGCCTCCCCACACACACAAAACTCATGACGACTGTTCGGGTATTTCCTAGAATGATATGGGAGTATGGGATATGGTACAGAAGGCTAGGAGTGGAAGCAAAACCAGGCACATTGTCTTACAAACAAACCCATTACTGTATTGAAGACAACCAAATTATTTTCAATAGGTTTGCAGATTTAGAGAAATCATGTGATATTAAGTGCATGGTTGAACCAGCCTTACATTTGTTATTTTTATACAGCCACTTTCCAGAATGAACTTCAGGAGGACACAGACCTCTTAATTTATTTTGCTTCTATACTCAGGCAGTAAATGTACTACTGTCATTTGACAGAGAATCCCAAATTCAGGCAGCAGGGGAGAAAGAGAAGGTAGTAAACAGGGTGTCATTAGGCCCAGATCCCATGGGTTTCAGGCCCCAAATGCATTTCTCAGTTCCTGGAGTGTCACCCAGGTGCCATTGCTCAGCCCTAAACCTTCCCACACACTCCAAGCATACAATGGGATGAGAGGGAACAAGCCCCCACTGTTTTCTCCCTTGATTAAAATGTGGCAAGCACTTTTCTTAAACGAAAAGCAGCTGCTGCCTGGTCAGGAATACTATACCCAGCATGTGACTAAGCAACAGCTGCTAGCAGATTGAGGCCAAGTCTTGCAAAGCAAAACTCTGGCAAAATCTTGTGAAAGTTTGTAAAATCTCATGGGATTTCAGGCAAGACTTTGGGGCCAACATGGAGCCTTTCCATGAGCAGCCTCCGCAGAATCAGGTGCTCCAGTTCCTGGCCTGTCAGCCAGGTGACAAACAGGGAGTTCCTGGTGGGGTAAGCACAGTAACAGTGCCGTGGAGCCCTGAATCTTTTAAGTGGCTCACAATGCCTCTAATGATAGAGTTACAGACTCGCCTATGCATTCTAACAAATTCTACCAGAAGCGAAGCCTGGCCTGGATTATTTGGTGCTTGTTATCTTCCTCATCTTCAGTATTACTCCTAGAATTTCACCCATAACCTTCACATGCAAGTTTGGCTGCCCTTCATTGCACAGGAGAGCCCAAGGGCAAAAAAGCAACATGGAAAGCAAACAATATGTTCAAATAATGTACAAAGTACAACAAAGGGATATTAGGTACAAAATACCTCCTAAGAGCCGTGACAAAATCGTTTGTGCGTGTGTACCTAGATATTTCCTATATAAGTAAGGAGCAGACATGGAAATGTGATGCAGAGCAACAGAGAGTTGAAATAAGGATTTGGTTGGAGGAGCATAACAATGAAATAATGAGAATCTTTGCATTCATGAATAACAGGAACAAATTCTTGGGTGTATTTCAAGGACCTTATATGAAATTGGATATACAATGCCCAACATCAGGGCAAATGCTTCTCTAGCGGTCCAAAGCTTTACTTATGGGTACATTGCCACAAGAAGAGAAGCATACCCCAGGTCTAAAGCACAGCATAAATTCACAATGCAGCCTAAACACTACCAGACATGAGATATATCTGAATGAGACCCAGTGTCTTGGGTTGATATAATTAGAGCTATAGAAACTTATTTATTTCCTTATTTGACTTATACCCACCTTTCTACCAGACATCACACCCAAGGTGACTTACAGTCACACATAAAACATAATAAAAACAGATTAAAAAGTACATTAAACTCAATGTAAGCAACCAAACACAAACAGTAAGAGTAAAAAAAAAGCATCCAAGCCAAGAGATCTGCTTATACCCCAAATATGCACTTGAATAAAGGACCTTTTCCTGCTGATGGAAAGACAATAGAAAGGAAGGGAAAACAGCCTCCCTTGGCAGCAAGTTCTGCAGTGAAGAAATTGTGCATGTTTTGTGATCACCAAGGTAAGATTCCAGGGAAATAAAAATAACTTGAATTTTGTAAAAAAATTATTCTGAACAGTGATAAAGGATGAGTAATCCTCCGCTTTATATATTGTTCCAGGTATGGGACACCTTTTCTAACACTGGTTGTCACTGCTTGTGCTCTCCTCCACAAGAAGGCAACCCCCTTCCTGTGTCTGAGCAGGGCACAGAAGGGACTGAGGAAGACCTCCCCAGATGACTTACTGTAGCAGTAGTTGCACAGCTTGTTAATCAGTTGGGAAGGCAAGAACCCTGCCCTTCTCCTGCAGGTAATTTTTAAAACTTTCTTAATTTATTTGGTCCCCTTAATTCTGTGCATTCTTCTGCATTCTACAGAATAATTCTATTTAAACAGAACAGGAGAGAACACAAGCACTTTGCCTGCAGTAAGCTATCCATTACCTGGGCATGTGATATGATGCTCTAAGGATGACAAATAGAAATCAGATTGTTGACCCATTTAGATATTCCATTTCTGCTTTTTGAATTTTCAGCATTCATTTCATGTTCTGTTCTACTAAATGTAAGCATTCTACAACGTAATTCCTATGCAGCTTATACCATGGTATCTAAGTATAAAATTTTAACATTAGACTACTTTCTATTTAGTTTGGTATACCATGATTCCCTGACCCCTTAGGCCCTCTCACCACATTTTTTTGCTAGGTCAGGTCACTACCACTTGGGGGATGGAACAGTATTAGTAGCTGATACTAATTGCCTCTATAGATTTTTTACAAATGGCCAGTTATCTAAGATGCTGTGAACCATCATGGAAATGTCCAGAATAATACCTGTACAAGACAGTAGAGAGAAAATCTATAAAGCAGAATGGCTACAATGGGCCTGGGTTATCCAAGGTAGCTGTTAAATGTTATCATCCTGTGTGTTGAATGTACCACAGGTTCTGTGCAAAATACGTAATATCAAGGCAGACAGAAGAGAACATTTGATAGCAATTTCTTTCCTGTTCCAAACTGAATGTTTTGCTTATCACTAGTCATATAAAAATGTTTCTGTGGGGCGGCCATTATCAGCTTTGCTGATGATAGATATAATCTGCATGACCTTCAGGGGAAAAAGGTATAAAACCATAAGAACTACCCTGTCAGCTCTTTGGGCACCAGTTGAAGACCTTATTTTCAGGCGTTCCTAGTATTTGGGTAGAGAGAAAATGGCAACTATGAATGAAAAGAAGACCTGTAGCCAAAGAATGGAAAATTTCCAGCATTTCATGTGGAATCCAGACACAGGACAGTTCATGGGAAGAACCTTGATTAACTGGGGTATGTGGTCACAAAAATCAGTGAGAATGTGATTTGGTATTAGAATTTGTTTTCAGTATTCCTGTATGATTAAACTTTTGCATCAGCATGATGCTTTATATCAACAAGACAGTTAGTTACCCACTACATTTCTTGGAACAAACCTGGAAAAGCTGCAAATTACTTATTAAAGCCCATTTTGCAATTATATTTGCTATAATGCCTTAGCATTCAGCTTGATATAAGTGAAAGATTACTGATAATAAAGCAATCAGGTATACAAAGTGTGAACAGAATGGAGAACTATACAAAAGATCCATAAATGCTAGTTTGAAACAAGAAATGCATGTTTGATGCTGTCTTCTTTGGTCTAGATCCAGCTTGCCTCTCCAAACCACTTCTTTGAACGCAAGTGAAATGCTCATACTAGCTCTCCAGTGCTCAATAGCAAACCACTGCATCAAAGAAGTTTCAAGAAAGAGTTCATGATTGATCCAAGGGCAGACCAAACAGGTGCAGAGAGGTCAAAAATTAATCAATGTTCACATACAATGGCTTGGACATGGTTAGTGTAGCTTGTTGGATCTGGTCTTTGTCATTATTTGTAAATATTTCCATCTTTTTCCAATGTATTTTTTCCATCTATTTCCAAGTTCACAAAGGAAAATGTTTCACAAAGGAAAATGAAAGTGAGATGACCTTTGATATGTTACCGGGCATCATTTTATCTTAGATTTAGTATACGTGTATATTCATTTTCATTTCAGATGGTATTACTTGTAAAGTAAGAAACCGCAAATTTCTTTTTCTATTTCAACATATGACCCATTCCTTGTTTTTTTACTCTTGCAATAACACATTCAAGCAGTAGTTATCTGATCTGAAAATTAGCACTGGCAATCTCCACAACATCTTCACACAGAAGGTGAAAGAATTTGCTGTCACACATCTTAGTGGGAGCCAGTGTGGTGTAGTGGTTAAGAGCATGGGACTGGGACTCAGGCGATCCGGGTTCTAGTCCCCGTGCGGCCATGGAGCCAACTGGGTGACTTTGGGCCAGTCACAGACTCTCAGCCCAACCTACCTCACAGGGTTGTTGTTGTGCGGGTAAGATGGAGGAGGAGAATGATGTAAGCTGCCTTGAGCCCTTTGTAGGAAAAGGGCAGGATATAAATCCAAAATAAATAAATAAATATGCCCAAAAACCTGTGGGCAGATTTCTAGTTACCAGTATTTCAGCTATAGGATCCATTATTTAAGAGCGTCCAACTTCCATAAGATAAATAGCATTGCTGAATGTACACTCATCTTTCCACCAACATGTCAGTTAGCTGTACCTGGAAGGCCTCAATGCATCTCTTCAGAAGAGCTTTCAGTACAGAGGTTTCCTGAATCATGGAGCAGCTTCAGAAACAAGGATGATTTTTGTGCTCTTTCTTTAGCATTAGACTGTATATCTGTTCTTCTGCTGATATGCTTTACAAGTGCTAATCCAATTTAGACTCTGGTTTTTCATTTACTGATATGTAATTTCAGAGTGCGTGAAACTTTAACTGCACTGTGGAATCTGTTCCCAGACAGTAATGCTTATTTTGTGTTGAAAAACGTTTTGTAAAAATTTTTTAACGTATTTCTAATATGTTTTCTTAATAGTATGGATTGTTCTGTACTATTTTGCATTCTATGTGGTGATGGTTGGGCTGTTCGCACTTTCTCTATATTCTTTAATGAGGACCATGAATCCGTATACACCAGACTACCAAGATCAGCTAAAATCACCAGGTACTATCACATCTTTGCCCATTACACTGAAAGGGTACAATCAACACTTATTTTATAATTAAGTTAAATGTATGTTCTTGAGGGATTGAGTGCTAAATGAACAAAACACCATTATACTTTGGTGCTTATACAGTGGTACCTCGATCCACGAATGCCTCAGTTCACAACCAAATCGGGTCGCAAACAGAAATTTCAGGAAAAATTTTGCTCAGGTCACGAACTCCTCATCGGGTGACGAGTGCGATCGCACCTATCTTCCCTGAACAGGTGCAATTGCGGTCGTGTGTGTGTGTGTGTGGGGGGGGGAGACAGGCATGATCAAGGTCGTGTTCGGGGGAGATGGCCGCAATCGCGCCCGTCTCTCCCCTGAGCACGCCCGCGATTGTTCCCGTCTTCCCTGTGATTAAAAAAATATTTACAGAACAGATTAACCTTATTTACACTGAACCTTAAGGGGAAATTTGACTTGGCTCATGACCAATCTGGGTCCTGACCAGAGTCATGGAATGGATTATATTCGTAAGCCAAGGTACCACTGTACTTTAACATTTTAAGATGTAAAATGGTAAAACTGGTAAGATCTTGTAGCACATATAACTTCACATTTCTGACAAAATACCATGAGATGGAGGCCATTATATGGAAATGTAGATCTCCTTACCTTTTGTCTTTTTGTTAACTGCAATCTTACACTTGCCTGGAGATTAAGTCTCACTGGCCTTACTTTTGAGTAGACATGTATAGGATTGCGCTATAAGGCTGAAATCCTGAATACTTACTAGGAGATCAATGCTACTGAGCACATTGGGAGTTACTTCTGAGTGAAAAAGCATACAACAGAACTGTAAACCTGACTTTAGTTTAATGCATGAGTTTTGTATATGCAAAATTTTATATTATCAGATATTGCTGAATAACTTTGTTTTCCAAGCCCAAGTTTCTTAATAGTTTGATCAGCTACCTTTTTGCAGGACCCCTGCCCCTTGTGGCTTATTATACCAATCAGGGAAGGTGTGATTGTGTAGGTCAGAGGTTATAACATCTTCCTTATGGGAATAATTCAGCAGTTTTAAGGTGGTGGTGAAGAGTTCTTCGGGGGGTGGGGGGAAGCATCCTTGGATTCAGTCGATATGAGTGAATATAAGTTAGTAGCTAAAACCCCCTTCTTGAGCAAGGTCTCAAACGCATCAAATCCAGGCAGTTTCGGATGAAATGCACTGTAAGGCTAGACTCATTTCTGTCACAGCTTAGGCAAAGAAACTGCCTCGGCTATCCTACCAGATGACCTTTTCCTAGCAAGAAATGGGGAGTGCCTTCCTGTTGATTCTCTTGAACCTCCCAATTGCTTTCACACTATTAACAATCTTATGCTTTAGAAGTTTTTTGAGCGAGGTGTGGGCAGATTAGTTTTGCAATAGGTCCATTCATATTTGAATGGTTATTCCATAAAGTGGTATTGTAGGTTTTTTATTCAACCTCATGGTTCCCCCAAACCCCCCTCTTGTCCCCCATATAACTATGTGATGTATGGGAAACCACAGAGTACATCTGGAGATTAAGAGTGCTACATCATTAAAATGTTGATAACATGCAGGCCTTTTTCACATTTTCGTCAGGTACAGAGGCAGCTGAAATGCTTGATCAATGCCCATCTACAGTAAATGGACTGACAGGGGACAATTAACTGAAGTTCATTCTAGACAAGACTGAGGTACTATTGGTGGATGGTTTATCATCCATCTGAGCAAGCAGGGTTTAGCCTATTTTGGAAGGAGTTGCACTTCCCCTAAAAAATCAAGTTCAGAACTTATGGGTGCTTGTAGCTCCCATTTTCATGCTTACAGGCAAATAACTTAGGCAGTTATTCTAGCTGTTACTCTTTCTGGATAGATACAGCCTGGCTTCAATAATTTATGCCCTGGTAATCTCCAAGTTAGATTACTGAAATCAATGTATTGTATACATATTACCCTGAAGATGGTCCAGAAACTTCAATTAGTGCAAAATATGTCAGGCAGGGTACTCACTGGAACTGGACATTATGACCGTATTTCACTATTATTGTATCATCACATCTTTGGAACAGAGGACTACATGTCACCTTGGGTTCCTCAAAAAGGAAAAAAAGACAGGATGTAAATGTAATTAAAAGTAATGGTATTGTTTCTGTTATTTACTTTGGTACTTGTAACTGCTCTTTCCACAAAGGGGTAACATTACGACCCGATGTTTATGGAGAAAAAGGCCTGGAAATTTATTACAACGCTTCTGACCGGGACTCCTGGATTCGCTATGTTAAGATTCTTGAGACTTTTCTTTCAGGTAATATATAGTAACTTGGACAGAAATGTTGATTAAAACTGTGTTAAGGGTACAAGAAAGATTATGATCCTCAGCAGCAGATTTTGAACTTGCATCGTATCACACCAATGTATATTACTGTATATACCAGCATATAAGACAACCTTGGAAACCAGAAATAACGAAACAAAAATGGGGTGGTGGTGGGGGGGTGTCTTTCTATATGCCAGGTAAAAAAATTCAATTGTATTATAGTCATTGTTTTTTAAAAGGTGATAAAGACAATTGTATTTACAAGCTCATTTTTATTTAAAAAAAAAACAAAAAAACACTTCTTGCTGCTATCAGGGAAGCTTGTCCTGCATTGTGTCACATTGTGACTTTGTATGCAGCTGCAAGCCTGTTCAAGTCTGGCACCTGCCCCACCCCTGCTGGGAGAGGAGCATTCCTTTCTGCGCTAGCAGAAGGGAAGTGTTCCCTGCGTGGCTGGACACAGCACTGCCCGCACAGGCCTCCTTTTGCCTGGTCCTCCATGCCTGGCCACAATGCTGGTGCCAGCAGTCCTCCTTGACTGAATCCAGCCAGCCAGCCCTCTTGTGGGCTGCCGTTGACTTCCAAATTGGAGTAAGAATGTGACAATTCACTAGAATATGGTAATGTGATGTCACAAGAATCCAGAAGCTTCCGGCTGACAAATACCCATATACACCAATGTATAAGAGCCTCTTGAAATTGAAAATAGTAAAGCAAAAACTGGGGATCATCTTATATGCCCGACATATGATAAACACAAGAAAAAACTCCCAAAATATCAACTTCATCTTGTAGCATCATCAAAAAGTGAATGTGAATTGGTTTACTAAGTAAAAAAACAGCAAACATGACTAAGACAAATGAATCACAATAATAAATCAAGCAAGTTTGGATTACAATTCTCTGCCTCTTTGATTACTGGTACTATAGCTAAAATCAATGGAAGCATTTTGGAGAACTCTTCTGTCTGTATTTTTTAGAATTTAGCACACACTTGAGACAAAATGCCAGTAAAGCAGCCTTCCTCAACTGGTAAACCACAAGCTATAACTCCCAGGAATCCTGACCATTGGTCCTGCTGGCAAGGGCTGCTGGAAGTTCAAGTCCAAAACTTCCAAAGGGCACCAGGCTGGCAAAGGCTGCTGTTAAGGGGATCAACCTAGGGAAATGAAGGGGAGGAAATCTCTAGGTTCACAAATTCCCCTTCAGGGGCACTGTTAAGCACAAAGAAAAACATGTCCTTAGTCTTCCAACTCTATTGCCTATTAATCTTTTGACACATGTTAGAGTGCAAAGACGTAAGACTGTTGTCCCTTTTGTTCAACAGAACAGTCTTTTTAAAACACAACTTTGATTAATATATCAATAGATGTACAACTTGAGAACATGCTCTCCCGCTCTCATTTTCAGGATTTATCCTAAGTCCCACTGAGATACTCCCTCCACCAGAGAAAATATTTTATTAACTTGGAAATAATGTATTTTAAAACAAATTATATACCTGTTTATCCAAAGGTTTCACAGCAGATTCAAACCAAAGCCATTGATAAAATACAATTAAAATAAATTCAACAAAGCAGAAGCACAAGCGCCATCCCTGCAAATTGGGTAAAGTTGCAGCTGACCCAGCTTTTAATCAGTTATTTAACAACAACAGAAATGCAAAAAGGCTGTATCACCTTTTTGAAAAACCCAGAGCAGCAGAGCTGCTTTTGTGGAAGCCCATCTCCTAGTGGAGACTAAGGAAGCCTCAACCTAAGATGAAATTTGGAACGGGATCTTATTAAATCTAAAACGGGGATGTGTTGGAGAGCATAGCACATGTACAAGAGGAGACATTCTATAATATAGAAACCAAACTATATGGAACAGCAAGTCCCAACATCCTCATTCAACATGGTCAGTGGTTGGTGGATATGGCTGATTCAACATGGTCATGGATGATGGCTATCATCAACTGTGACTAGAGGTATTCAGGTTAAGGCTGGTATAGATCATTGAAAGGCAAGCACTTTGAATCTGGCTTGGCACCTACAGACTGATCTGTCCAAACGTTTTTCATAGGTAGCTCCACAGTAATCATATTTACATTAGGCAAAATCTAAAAGTAATGGTAACAAACTTGATTTGTTTTTCAAATCAATGCATATAGCATATAATGAAACTGCACAACAAGATAATATCAACTGTTCCGAAATATCTGGATACTTCAAGCAAAAGCAATTTGACGGACCACAAAACACAAAATATTCTTGCAAATTTCCAGAAGAGTTGCTTGGGAACTGCTCTGGTGCAGTGGATTCAACATTTGGTTTTCCAGAAGGAAGTCCATGTTTAATAATAAAAATGAACAGAGTAAGTACCAAAATATATTTTATCTGGTAAAATCACAGTAACTGCCTAGAAGAGGAAATCCTATTGGGAATAAGATATCCATTATGCCAGTGTGGAATGTGTTGGCCCAGAACTCAAACAATGGATATGAAACTCACCAAGTAACTTTGGACCACATACTGGCTCTCAACCTACCTCACAGGGTTGTTGTGAAGATGATGATGAAAAGGAGGAAGATTATGTAAGTCACCCTGTGCTCCTTGTAGGGAAGAAGGCAGGATATAAAAGAAATGAAATATTTGGTATATTGACTTTAATCTATAGAGTTCTCATTGTGGTACTTAAGGAGAACCTTACTTTATTACAGATTATCAATACTTTTCCTGGCAAAGGCACTGCACCAAAAGTGAACTGCACAAGACTGGTAAGCATGCATTACCAAAATGAGGCATGGCATTTAGAGTGTTGCACTGGGACTTCAGAGATCTGTTTCTAATCCCCATGGACTGATTTTGGGCAAATCATATACTAACTTACGTACCTCAAAGGGTTGCTGTTGTTTGTTGTGAAGATAAAATGGAGAGGAGGAAAACCTTGTAAGCCACCATGAGTTCCTTGCAAAAGGAAGAAAGGTGGGCTATAAATATAATATTAATATTGAAGTTATTTTATTCAGATAGCATACAATCCAGAATGTGTGCATGTTTGTTTAGAAATTCTACTGGCGGTCCAAAGTCCATGTTTACATAGAAATGTAATCTTAATGGCTTCACAAATGTGTAGAATGAAAATGCTAATGGCTCTGCTTCAGCCCCCACTCCAAAAGCCATTTCATTATAGAAGAATTTGGAGCAGAAAAGTGTTCTTTCCCACCAAAATCATCTTGCAAACTGCTCTTCTTTGGATGAAGTTACAAAAGTTAATCAGGGCCTCATTTATGCACTTCTGCAAAAATTAATGCTATCCAATGTCAACACTTTCTAATATACCCAAGTTTGCAAATAAAAAAAGTACCAAAACTAAACATCTTTCCTTCTGAAATTTGCAGCAGTACTAGGACAGATCTGTTATACTGTAGGGCATTTTGCTGATATGATATTGGGCAGACTTCCACTTTCATTTCAAATAAATGAAAACATTCTTCCAGTAACATGCAACCTGTGACATTTGGCTATATTACGTGCCTACACATAGCAGTTCCTGTGCTGCAGGACTGAATGCCTTAAGACTAAATGCTACTTCATATATTAGTGCTAACAGCTGGCTTACTTATGACCAACAGGATGACACCAGCCCGCTGGACATACAATATTATCCTGTAAATGGAACTTTTAACCTTCACTATTTCCCCTACTATGGATGTAAAGCACAGGTATGTTTTCCCACAATTGTTCTCACAGGCTTATCAGGTATTTTAAGTAACAAAATGGTTAACATTTTACACATTCATTTCCATTTCAGCCTACCTACAGAAATCCACTTGTAGCAGTGAAATTTCTCAACATTCCCAAAAACACAGATGTAAGCATGGTATGCAGAGTTGTTGGTGCTGGAATTACTTCAGATAATCCACATGACCCATATGAAGGAAAAGTGGAATTCAAAATTCGGATACAAAATTAAGCAGCAACAGCACTGATTGACAACTTAAGAGTTC